GGTGAATGGTGCTTCGAAGAAACCATCATCTCCACACTGAATCTTGTATCATTCATTCCGGGTATCTAGTGAGCTGAAGACCATTGAGCAACTCACTTTATCAGGGGTGGCTATCAGTGATAACAAAAAATCTTCTGGGGATTTTCTGGTTTCAGCGCCCTCTAAGACTGGTAATGGTCCTGGCCACTCCTCGCGTAGCCGCTGCGTGTTTCAGTGCAACCTCGCAGATGTTGAAGCTGTCGAGGCTGTAGGAAAAAGACGCTCTTGCGGAAGCTTTCCGCATCCGGGACTAAGGAATGACGGGCTAATGGAACCCGTTTGTAGGCAAGGGTGGTGGCTCTTCTTTGACAGAAAACATTCCAGGAATTCTCCTACTTCTCGAGGCAGAGGCATTGTATGGCTGTCTATGGGTGTCTTGGTGATGACACACACACCCGCAGATGGAGTTGTTGGTCTGAGTTGTCCAGGGGAGGGGTTCTCAAGCGGCGTAATAACGAAGCACTACGCCATAAACTTGGAAATCAAGGCAGGTGCAAATATGTTGCGGACATATAAGTGATTTTCAGCTGAAGCTGCCGCTTTGAGGAAAACCTGTCCATTTTCGGTTCAGTTGTAAGCCAGTGCACTCCAGCCATAATATGGAAACCGTGTTTGCTCTGCACCAAAGGCTGTTGACGAGATCACTTGTCTTTTTGTTGATGCTGGAAAGAGCCAAAGGCAACAGGAATGACATCGCAGGTGCTGCCGGAAAACGTTCCAAATCGGCTGCTCAAGAGGGTAAATAAGGAATTCGTTGCTGAGTAAAACTTGGTCAGAAATGATGCGGCGGTCCGCTCCCGTGCCTGGGAGAAAGGTTGAAGGCCTCGTGTTGGTGGTGCCCTCGCATATCTGCTTTTGCCAGACACGCTTGTTTGGCTCTGATATGTGGCTGATCGAGGTGGAACGGCTGTGCGTGACCTGATTGATGGAACTGCAGCATTGGTCACCAATAAATAGCCTTTGTTTAGGCGGCTTGTTCGCTGCTAAGTGAACAAACCCCGGGTATTTTCTCTCGTGAATCGAGGCTCATGCTGTGCATGAAAGCAGATCTATTCAAGCAGCCGGAATTTTTTTAACTCGCTTTCACCGCCCGCATGATGAACAGCCAATCTCCCCCTTCTTAGAACCATCCCTTCAGTAGTGTTGTTCACCACATATGCTGCATTGTCTGACTGGAGAACTTGGGGTTCGTTGATTGTCGTTTGCAATTTTCATTGCTGGCCTGACAATCACAGCNGTACTGAACTCATGCCAGAACTCAATGGGTCCTGAATGTGCATTGCTAGGCAGCACTGGAATGACTAGCCAGCTACTCAGAGCGGCGACACCTTTCGAACTCAAGCGAAAAATCAGGGCAACAGTTAAAGGGCACAGCAAATTCTCGACCAATTATACAACCCTGCCTGTACCCGGTGCAAGCATACCACTGTGCTACGGGCATATGCATGGTGGCATGCTGCAAGCCGGTGGAGCTGATCTAAAGCATGACCCAACCCCAACTGGATGCTCAAGCCGACAAGTTGCTAAGGTGCATATGAGGCGCATTGGGTATGGTGAAAACGGGCTTGACATACGTCGAGCGTAGGAAAATGCGATGCATCTTTTACTGTTCATAGAGCCATAGCCTACACAATGCGCCGGCCCTGCAGCGTCTCAACGACACAACCAACGACAACACGATTCAAAAACCCATCTCTCCAGTCGTAGCAATATGTCCCTACACTTTATCCAGGTTCTCCAAGCTTGCAAGTGTACTTCGAACAGTGCGTCAACGTTCTTATAGAGGCTTTGCCCCGATGTTCTCCGCATATCTCATACCGAAAAACTCACTCGCCTGCGGTACAACGGCACTACACACTAAAGCGGCCGGGTCGGTGCACTCACTCAGTATCTCTTCTTGGTGATGGCAAATCATCTTCCAAGACCTGGCCGTAAGTTTGTCTGAGGGTAAGGAAGTGTTTTACATTGTATTTACGGTTTCCGCCAGGCCCAGTAAGTTGCCTCACATCAGCCCCACTTGTGCAAATTCGCCAACACCAAGTGTCTCAACTTTTTTTTTATCGTAGTGTTCGNTCACATCAGCCCCACTTGTGCAAATTCGCCAACACCAAGTGTCTCAACTTTTTTTTTATCGTAGTGTTCGCTACCGTCGCATCCAGTCGCTTATCACTGCGGATCGCCACACTTTATTGTATTCGTATCAAAAATCCGAAACCATTTCGCCGGACTTTCCAAGAACAATCACCGTGCTTTGTCTAGTGTATGGCGTCCACGAGCTGATTGGCAGAGCGATAGCGCCAACAAATTTGTTGAGCAAATAATGTTTGCGTTTGCGCAGAGCCGCGAAGAACTACTACTGCGCCTACACGCTTTTGTTTGTCGCTGATAGCGAAGCGCCGAATTTTAGAAGACAGTGGCCATGTGACGTTCCTATCGGGAAATATCCTGCAAAAGTTTAAGCTCTACATACGGTTGAACGACGTCTTCGTCTTACTAACTCACCTAAGTGGAGAGCGTTCAAACCACTCATTGACAGAGCGCAGGTAGGACGCGCATCAGCCAAGAATATGGGCATTTGCGGATGGGCGTTTGAGAGGATTGGAGCGCTCCCTAGACAACGTATGGGTGTGAACTTGCTGAAGGCCCACTAGAGGCTGCTGAAATACATTTGCCCACACTAGAAAGTCGTTGCGCCACTTGAATTCAGGCGGCTAGTGTGGAGGGGCGCATATGAAGCCGTTTACCTCCTGCAGTTAGGAGGCATCTACAACTTAATTTGCTGGCCCTAGAAGACCGGCCTTTCNAAGCCGTTTACCTCCTGCAGTTAGGAGGCATCTACAACTTAATTTGCTGGCCCTAGAAGACCGGCCTTTCCAGGCAGAAATGACGAGCTCAGCGGTGAGGGAACCCACTGTCCAAAGGAAACCCTTACCGCCCATAAGCGAGATTGAGAAAGCAACAAGCTAAAGGGGCAACTGTCCAAACGTTAACCTTGCAGAATATAAAATTAAAGAGGCAAATGTCCAACCGCTAACAACACAATTAGCTTGAAATGTTCTCATGCGTCGGGTTCTGTTTCGTACATCAAACATCTCAGCACTAGTGCCTGCACTTGGTGCTAGACCAACCCGTGCCGCAAAGGGTTTTGAAAACCACCGTTTAAACTCGCATGCCAGGCATTGCCAACGCAGTAGGTCTATTTTATGCTTTCGCTAGGCTGACGAGAGGGAGAGGGCCTGAACGCTACCGTGCACTCGACCGCGCCGACCACCGCGAAGGCAGCAGCTCGCAGAGCTCCTAAGGCTCCTAAAAGGCCATGACCGTTTTGGCCATACTCATGGGCGACATGGCAAAGCACAGAGAGCCTTTAGGCAGTGCATACGAAGGCTAAGTAGCTGCGTTGAACTTGTTTTTGGCTTGATGCACTGAGCAGAATACGCAATTATTGCCGTACTAAAATCAACAAGNGCGTTGAACTTGTTTTTGGCTTGATGCACTGAGCAGAATACGCAATTATTGCCGTACTAAAATCAACAAGCCTTTTCAACGACTCCGCATAACATCTACAAAGTATATGTCATCTTTATGCGGCGGCAAGTGCAGATCAACACTGGCCTCAATAGCTATTGCGTCAAGTGTGATTTTTCGTAGCGTGGTCTTGCTGAGCGAAGTTGGTACGTTTATCGTTTCGGGGGCCTGCAGGCTGGCGGTTGAGGGCCAAGTAGGTGTTTGCCAACGGACTACAGCGTTAGTTCATGCTGCCTAGGCGGGTTCGTTATGCTTGCGCGTAGGGTTAACATGCAATGGGAGTTGCAGCAAGCTGTGTTGCAGCTTAGAATGATCACCACCGTTCCGCACCCGACCCGGGCCCTTTCCTACGTGCACGACGCTTCATGGGGCTAAGGGCGACAGTAAGGAAGGCCCGTTACTTCGGGGTTCTGGGGGTAGTTATCTTAAGTATTTTGATTTTGTTGCAGCGCGCGACCTGCACTAAGATAGAGGCCCTTGCTAAAACGTCATTGAACGGAAGTGAGTCAGATAGCAAACCCGTGTTTGAAGAATTTTCGGCTACACGCGCTCATCCTACTATTGGGCTNGAAGTGAGTCAGATAGCAAACCCGTGTTTGAAGAATTTTCGGCTACACGCGCTCATCCTACTATTGGGCTGCTCGGCGGACGAGGATGCGTGATGTTTGGGGAGAGACAGGGCAGATACAAGAGGGTGTGTCAGAAGAGAGGGTATAGTGCCGGACGATAGTTCCCACAGCTGTGAACCCATAGTACACGCAACCCCCGCCACGCCTGCACTGTGACGATTAAAAAACAATCCTTCAATAAATGTAACAGAGGCTCTTTGTGGCTTCAATAAAGGCATTTGTAAGTGCTACCTCTCCCTGAGAGCACTGTGAAACTGCGCCGAGAAGCAAGCAACTGAAACATCATAGACAACGAGCAGATTAGACAGATACCATTGGACTTAAATTGACATGTGGGGATTTCGCTGCCCCGAGTTCCGAACCCGACAATGCATGCCGACCATCGTCCGCTAGGATGAAGCACGCTCCTCAATGTTACAAACTCAAAACGCCTCGAAAAGCGCCACGTGGTGGTCGCCGGGTACGCCAGTGCGGAGAGGTGCAGAAGGAAGCTAGCGAAGGACCTGCAAAGTATTTGGTTGTGCGTCCAACAACTCGTTCAAGTCTAGAACGTGCCAACATATTTTTAATTGGCTAGGCAATTCTGAGCTCAGTGAGTCGCAAGGTCTGCTGATTCTTCGCNGTGCCAACATATTTTTAATTGGCTAGGCAATTCTGAGCTCAGTGAGTCGCAAGGTCTGCTGATTCTTCGCCTACAAGGAACCGACAGGTGCGCACACGCTAACAAGGGTCCTTACCCTTAAAAAGGGTCCTGCCATTGACAGCTATGCCTGCTGATTGAACCATTCACAACCGGCTGACCGTTTATTCAGCCGCAGTATTCTTAATGAGGTCTGGAAACTCCTTGATGACTTGGAAGGCACCAATCCTGTGGGCCCTCTGGGGCTCCAGCAAACGAAGAATAAGTTCTGCCCACCTCTCCGGGACTTCCGCGGCATCCAGCTTCGGGATCAGAATGTCAGAACGTGTCCCATCTCGCAACAGCTGCTGTGATAAACTTTCTGCTTGTTCCGCCCAGTCTGGTCCCTCCACTTTTCCGTAGGGATGATCTTCTCCGGTGTAGAGTTGGAAGAGAAGAACCCCGAGACTCCACATGTTTGTTTTACATTCAGACATAACAAGCCCGCTGCGTGACAAACGACTCATCACGTAAG